ATGGCCGCGTTTGATGAGGGCCTCTGAGGCCTTGATAATACAGCAAGCTCGAAACGCGTGAGCACATACGGATGTATTGAGCGCGCAGTTTCGCCTAGATATGTGGGTCGCTAAGCCGCGAACGGAACGACGACGTGAAACAATTAAAAAAATATTAGAAAAAGATACGGTGGTGACGGCATAATCGTAGGATTGCGTGATCACGTGAGATTGCAAAGAGGACTGACCTTGCCGTGCCACCGACGCGTGCTGCGCCCGCTGCTGTGCTAACTCGTCCTTTCACACAGAAAACAAAGAGGAAATAAGAAAACAAGAATCGGCTGAAAAGCTGTCCAAGCTTGTGGCCGCAACAAGCAGCTGTACCAAACCCTAGACTGCCGTATGTGGCCTAAGCCTTACGTGTATGTGACAAAAGAAAGTAAACAAAAGCAGCACAGTATGAATATGTGTGTATGCGTGTTCATATTACAAAAGATTTTGTTTTCATGTAGCCTCCACTTCTTGTTAATCTGTTTATTTTGCTGCTTTTCTTTTCGCAAAAATAAAAAGCTAAATAACGGTTGTTTCGGTGGACGTACCGTCTAAATATGCCACGTGTTTTTTTTTTCCAAGGACGCATTTAGTAATGCCTCGGTGCATGCGAGGTCTTTTTGAAAGAAGAATAACGCCCACTAAACAAAAAAAAAGAAATGATGAAGGTGATGACTGAAAAGCCATAGAAATTCTTAAAACAATAAGGGGTAGGAGTAAATGGGTTTGAGGGGGGTCGGATCCAGCTGTTTCCGCGTGAGCTGTGAATGTAAATAATGAAAGACAGTCGATGGCCAAGAAGACACATGAAAAGAAACGAAACAAAGCCCTGATAGGTGGCTGAGAGGTAAGTGAGTTCAAAAACAAATGAACAAATAAAAGTGGTGTGGCACCTGCATACATAATTGAAAGAGAGGCATGCTTTTTTCAGCAGGTTGTTGCCGAAGGTCTCTCTAAATCGTAAACTGAACTGCGCATCGCACATAGATAACTCCGCTAGAAGCATAAAACACAAAATGAGACTCGTTGAGTGCACTTGCTCGGAACGTTAAGAGGGGTCATGTTCGCGCTTTCCTAGGTCATTCACTCCTCTCTGCTGGCAGCGAGTCCTAATGATCGAGAACGGAGAATACCGGCAGAATATTCAGAAATGAAATCCCTTCTGCGAACCGAAAAATTCTCTTTTATTAGGCGCGGAACACAATAGGGGCCCGCGGGCTGCCGAATGATGTTGTATATGCTCTGTTTGTTGGCCAAGTTGGCACTTGCTTAAAGGGACACTAAGGTCAAATAAGAATTTACGTCGGAGTGAAAGCTCAATGTACGACAACACCTAAAATGACAATATTATCAACAACAGTGTCCTACTTACCGAGAAATTAAGGTAATGCACAAAAACACAAGCGCCGCAGTAGGACATTTTCAAAATGATCCCGATGACTTCAGATGGACCGCCTACAATTATTCACTAGTAATCGATCTGACTGCACTAAATAAAGATGTTTCCGTGCATCAGGAGACGCAATGAAATTCTGCTAGTTCTTTTCTGTTTGATTCATGAAAAAAAAAAAAGAACCACCGGACGTTACTATGAAGAATCGCGCAAGCGGTTCAAAAATTCAATTTTCGCGTGGTTACACGGGACAGGTGGTGTCATCGGCGTCTCTCATAATCATATAGTGGTTTTGGGACGTTAAACCCCACATATCAATCAATCAATCAGGTGGTGTCATCTAGCGGGGCGCAGTTGAAACAAAAGCGTCTGCAATCTCGGAGCCAATGGAGGGAAGTTGGTCAATTGCATTTTTCGCTGCTCTGTCTCCCCCTGCTTTAGGTCTGCTGCTACTAGCACAGTAAAGCCGGGCAATGTTGTGCACGACAACAGTGACGTGAGACGGACCGGTCGGTCCGCTTCTTGAGGCGGGTAATCTGAAGTTCGCTAACCTGATGCGTATCACTAAAACGTGATTTTATTTCAAAATACGCCCTTCCATGGCACAATTGAACGCTACGAGGTTTCTGCACCACCATTTCAACAATCAACGTCGACTTGATAGTTGACTTCAGTGTCCGTTTAATAACGTATTTTAGCCACGATATAACGCAAACACAGAGTAAAGAAACACGCAACAAACGCCACCTGTCGTTGTGTGTTTTTTTACTCTACGTTTGTGTCATTTCGCAGCTAAAATATGTCTGTCGTATACTGTCATCGCTTGACGTAACGCAGGAAAAAACCAAGCATTATAATAGATAAAACAAAGTAAGCCAGTGAATTATAGGAAGAGAAAAAAAAGAAAGGAAAGTAATAGAAAGAAAAACAGAGATGAGTGAAAATTAAGAGAAAAGAACAGATGGAAGAAAAACTGGGAGAGAAAAAAAGGGACGAAGAAATCAAGAGAAAAGCGAAAATAAACAAACAAGGATGCCCACCTCCGTACTTCCATCAAGCTTGGCACTCGTAGTGCCAATCTGCCTTAATTTTGTCTTGGAAGAATACAGAGAGCCAGCACCCGATACAGCATGAAACTAACAGCTGTAACAAACAAAGAATCTCGTTCTTTTATGCAAGTGTTACACCGCTGATTCAATAGACTATGCCATGCAGAAGACAGCTGTTTTCAGGTCTATACAAAATAGCCGAAGGCGACAGTGTTAACTTTCCTCGCAACGTTCTTCTTTTTCCTGGTTGTACTGCGACTCATGCCAATTACGGCTTGGGAGGATCTTGTGGAATCGCTTGGTAGGTTTATTAGGCGCCCCGATTCTCGCAAATGTGACGTTTCCGTTAGTACTTATCGTTGGTTAGTCAATACTCTTTCGACTGTATACACTTGATTGATGATTTGATTGATTTGTGGGGTTTAACGTCCCAAAATCACTATATGATTATGAGAGACGCCGTAGTGGAGGGCTCCGGAAATTTTGACCACCTGGGGTTCTTTAACGTGCCCCCAAATCTGAGCACACGGGCCTACGGACTGTATACACTTGGTGTTGTGCGGACAAACTGCAAGCTTCGCGCGAAACTCGTCGAAGAAAACGAGAGCCCGCAGAGGCATGCGTGTCCACGGCTGATCTACATTGCATAGAAACAGATTCGTTCGTAATCCCAAGAACGCGCCTTTCGCTTACGGCTTTCGAAGAGACCTCGAGCTATAGCTTCGTGATAGCCACCAGCCACTTCATTAAAACGGACTCAAGCGAACAGAGATTTAACGCGAAGTGTAGGGGAGAAAAAAAAATGAAAGTATGTGGTTCCGGCTGTTAACGGCCTTGCTAAGCAATGGAGACTTAATTGCGTCCTTCGTTGAAGGCCACCGGACTGACCAACATCACGGCTTGTTCGAAAACTAAATGCGTGGAAAACGGCGACCGCGCCGCCGCCAACGCGAGCGGACGATTAAGATTACGGCGAGGCGAAGCCTGCTGCGCTCGTTGGCAGCGACAACCGCGGCGGATATATGCACTGCATGCTCAACCGAAATAGGACGGCGCCGCACGGCTCGCGTCCGTTACGTTAACAAGTAGCGACGTATGCTAATACAACATTCAGTCGGTGCTTCAAACCGTGCAAGCTTGCAAGGTGGCGCGGGAAATGAGTAATAGAGTGGGGGATATCCCCCATTCTTTTACTCGTTTTTTCTTGAACTTCGCCTTTAATAAGAGTTGAACGTGATAGTGATATTCTGTAGCTAGCACGTACTTTAGTTAATTTGTGCACATTCTCTATTGTATAATGTTACTCAAGAAGTTTAAATTTTGAACTACTACAGTGTAACGACACAGTTGAATGTGGCTTGTGTCAGTGAAGCTTTCGCATAGGGAGATCGGCATTTTGCAGGGGTAGCATGATTTAAACCATGAGCAATTATGCGTGTGCAATTTTTTCGTACTTGTTGTGCACCCGTTACGTGGTCTTAAGGGAATACGCGCAGTTACGAGGGTGCCTTTTGTAATGGGTGTCGGCTTTTAAGCCATCAAGACATTATAATCCCCTGTTCTGACTCCCGATGGCAATGTGCACGCTTGTACTACGCTATATTACTGCGATATTACATGTAGTATTGTAAAGCCTCTTTACAAGATGCGTGTGTTTGTAAAGGGTGAACGTTATTTTCACGTGCATTTCTAAGCAGAGGACAGTATTTTAACTGTATTTCCAAGCATACGCGTGACTTTGTGGTACAACACCTGCTTGCCTTGCAAATGCCTGGGTACGATCCTCACTTGGACCCGGAATTTTTCATTGTTTATACTGCTTGCATCTTTTCGACTTTTCGGTCACGCGTAAGATCATGATTTTTGGTTCGCAACCACCGACGCAATAATTTTTGCGAAACGAGGCCTTCAACGCTGTCGCGTTGATAAAAAGGGAGGTAGGTGGCACTTATTCACTGTGTACGCAGTTATTATTTACAGTGCTTTTCGATTATCAGAACGGGCTACGAACAGCGTAAGTGGCATTGGCAGGCATATCGTTCTTGTTACTGTGTGAGCCGTCCGTGAATTTAGTTGTAACGAAGAGGCACTGAATACCTTCCGTACTATTTATGTGACTTATGGCAAGTGGAGTACGTCTTCCCAAAGTATCGAAACTATCGCCCGCATGTTTTTTCTGTAGACACGCAGGTGTCAATCATTCTATTCCGCATTTGAGCCACGTTGAAAAAGGCGGGCATTCAGTTAGGCAAGCGCCTGTGTAGGGATTCGAAAAAGTGGCATAACGACAACACACATGGACGAGAAAGAGACGACGAGTGCCAACTTTTAACTGCTGTTTCTTTCTCTAGTCCGTGTAGGTTGCCTTATGCAACTTTTTGAAGCAACTAACCAAGTACCTCAAAAAGCACCGTTGACAGCTTGGACTTTTTGAGCATCTATACATCAAAGAGAAATGCGTAAACGATGATGCGTTTGATATTACTGAGATTACTGCATACGGCACAGCATATATAGTGACACTTTAACCAGCACACCAAGAATTATTTCTTTATTTCCGACGTCTTTATCATGTACCATAAAATAGTGACGCAGACTTTTTTCCTGTCTAGAAAAAAATGAGAAGACTGAGTAAAGGTTGACAACTAAGCCATGGCTGGCTTTGTATCTTGTTCACGTCACAAGTTCATTAAAGTCGTACAGGAGTTTCGTACTAGACTTCCAATGTATAATAGCGCTTTCAGAACTTTCCAGCATCTAACGATCTAAGGACTATGAATGGTAAATTCGTCTTGTCACGAGGGAGGTTCGTAAGCGTTAGTGGCGTACGCCACAACGTATACCGCTATCACTCGCATAGATTTCTGTCACCAAGGCTAACGGTAATTTTTTTTAGAAATCAGACCATATTACAGCATGTTTCAGTTGCCGCATGGTCTTCTCGTGACTAGTTGAGTTTTTAGACGCTGCGTTACACCATCGTGTCCTGCTTCTGGAGATCAAGATGAGCCTTGCGTTTCTCGCTGAGCATCTAATCGAGCCAGGGAGACCAGACACCGCCGAAGTTCTCGGGGTAAGCGCGTGGGTCGGCTGGTCGTGCCCGTGATGCCACCATTCGCGACATGTAGCCGCTGAGCTTCTTGTAGAGAACGCGCAGCACCTGACAGAAGAAAGGAGAACAACAAACGAAACGTTGACGGGCAGTGCGACGCTCAAATGACACAAGGCGACTTGCAAATCATGTTTCTGGGTAACAGTGAGATCTTATGAGATTACTGATCGTTTCCTATTTCTACTTGCACAGTGCACGTCACGGTCGAGGCGAACAGTCTCTAAAGCTTTGAACCTTTGAAGAACCAAATGATTGGCTTTGAAAACACCAGTATCCAAGACATAAACTAGAGCGTGGCTGGTGGTGGAGTTTGAAACTAATATCTAACACAGTGGCGTTGGCTGTCTTATAACCGCAGAATCATCGCCTCCCTTCACTGTCGAGGAACCGCAGGCGCGTTCTGTTAATTCGTTCATCAACGCACACGGAAAGCTTTTTGACACTAATGTGCAAGGAGCAGCAGTGGTGAAGTGTATACCTCCGTCTCAATCACGTAAAATTAATTTTAGATTATGGCGCACTAGGCAAAACAAAAGAGTAAAATTGATTTTCTATGGCACCGAAAAAACGCAGCCTCACAGGAAAGGAAAGGTCAAAACATAATCACATGCAGACTTGATAATATACAAGTAATGTACATCTAAAGGTAAACTAAGTCATAGGGCCACAGGACCTAAATTTAACTCCACGGTTTATTATGTAACAAAGAGTGTTAAGCGAGTTGTAATACATGCTTGTTGGTGACGCATTTAGAATATGGAATATAGTGTTACACACGCACGTGCACACGCATGTACACGCACGCACTAACACGCACACACACACAGCACCACTTATATAATTTTTTATTTACTGTTTTATAATGGGGTCCACCAACACTACAGCGACGCATTTCCGACACGAAAGTGACGTAAAAAATACGCATGAACGGAAAGCAAAGAAAAAGTTACATAGACGGGAGTCGAACCCATGATCTTTTGGTCCGCGAAAACAAAGACCCGGTATCCTACCCTTCGCGTCAAGTTCGTTTTGTTTTCTTTCTTTATTGTCTTCTTGGCTACAGGTAAAGATAGCCCAGCAATCATACATGGTATTCGTTTCACACACACTAATGCATCAAACAAAGGTATCACATCTTCGTAACAGTCAGTCGTCATATACACATCATGTACTTTGACAACAATGAACCCCGAAACACTTATGAACATATAGTGCTGTATCATCACAGTGTCTACAAGCTAGCATTCTGTGTCATACCGAATTATATACGAAGTAAAAATGTTGCATCAAAATGCTGAGCAGGATTTTCAAAAGGCGGAAAGAGTATTCCGTGTGGATTCAAAGTTAAATTTACCTTTAGGATTATCTGCATTATGTCCCAGAATAATATAACATTCTTACAATCAATAAATACATGTTCAACAGCTTCTGGCTTAACAAAAAAAAACACATATTTCACCATGGCACCTGAATATCTTTATATTCTGGCCACGTTTTCATTGGCAAGGTTTTTGTATGTAGTTTGAAACATACTCTGGTAGAAGCGTGCCTTTTATATCTACCAATGTCTTCTCACAGTACTCTTGGTCAAGTTAAGCAGAATGGTGACCGTGACATCCACGATTAGTTATTCAACGTGTCGTTTCTTCGCGTCCATCCCGTTTGGCGCGTTTCCAACTGAAGGGCAATTTTGTCGATCCATTAACACAGCGCCAGGTGGTGAATGTGTGCCTCATTCACAGCATCCGTGCATTCCGAAAATTGTTCTGTGTCACCTGGCTGTGAGGGCGCGTTCTCCATTCGCAGCGTTACAGTGGCGGCTCTGCTCGCTGTCACACCGCTTTTGTTTATTCCGCTCTCATCGTTAATGACTACAACTATAATGAGCATCTATGAGAACAAGGGCTTCTTTATAAGTTGATCACGGATGTCATCGAAATGGAGATTTATCACCAGGCGTCAACGTGTGTGCAGTCACGTTAAATGGTGCTATAGCTGTCCAACATCAAGATACACTGCATCTCTCTTATATGAATGCAAAGTAAGCAATGAAAAACTTCTCCAAAGATAAATCTCACTTTCGTGTTATACGGATGCCTTTAAGAGGGATTAACCGTGCTTTCTTTTTTACCTTCTCTTACTCACACTGCGCAAAACATCTTCACCGCTTCAAGAAAGCGCGCAAAGATACCTATCCATTTACACCTGCTGCTGTTCAATGCTTGCTCACTTTTATAGAAGATTAAGCTAGCTGGTTAGCATTCAGCATAAATGCAGGCAAAGCGTGCGAACATGGAGACAGAAGGTGAGGACAAGACAAGACAAACATGTGTGTCACCCTGTTTTCTTTTTTTTTTGTGTCTATGTATGCATGACTTCGCTTTTTTCTTTCATTATGATAACTTTCATGGTTGCACTGCATGTCTAACAGGTGTAATATCCATATACAGAGCGTTATTTTTTTATTTTTTTGTTCTCTTCCGGCGTGCGCAATGTTTTTGTTTACTGAAGGGCTAAACTTCGTTTAGCGGGGGCCAAAGCTGGGTAGCTGCGAATGGGCATGCGTTTCGCTTTATAAATTTCTGCGCATTAGAAAGTTTGCAGAAAGCGCGTCTTTTTTTTTGCTTTCTTTTTACTTTCATTACTGCATTCTTCTGAAAACTGTATAGGAGTGCTTAATTACCTCTACTTTTTTGTAGTCTTGCTTTTGAATTTTGTAAACTTTTAGAAGTACTGCATTATCTTTATTTATTGTGTTGTCTGATTTTGTAATTTTATCTCTAAATATGAGCATTGAATTATTCTTATTTTGTATGCAGTCTGCTTTTGGTTTTTGCCTTCCCCCCCACTTTCTCCTCTTATTTTTCTTACAGTGTCCTTTTTCCAGCTTGCGTTGTACTTTTGCTTACTTTTTGTACTGCTGTTTGCTAATTAGAATATTTTTTTCTGTGTTAATTACTGTAGGAGGTCCCGATTCAGTCTTTGACTATGGGACCTACTTCTAAGTGCTGAAATTTGTAACACTTCTGATGACATAATAAAATCATTTCTGATTTTGATTCTGGAGACTAAAAAATTACTACGAGTCAAGAAAATGTTTCGTCGTTCATGGTAGCGGCATCAGACAGGGCGCACTTCGACAAAGGTCTCACCCTTTTGTGTGACGCAGCCAGGTTCTGCGACTCGCAGGGGTCTTGCTCAATGTCGAACAAGTAGGGACCCTTCTCCGGTGGTTTTATGCTGGCTTCAGGCGAGCACTTCACGGTCGCCTCCTGCGTCCAGTTCTTGTCGGTTTCGAAGCGGAGGTTGCCGAACAGTGACTTGAACACCTTCGCCGTCCTGCGGTTCGGCATGCTCTCTGTTCATGTGGAGTGACTGCAACATTCTTTTGGGCGCATTAATAAAGGTCACTTTGTTTTTCTGGTATCCTGTCTTGTTTATGAATAGGGGTAGGTTATGTGATATCGGGTCGTAGGAAGTATTTATGCAGAGTGATGGGCTTCCCAACTAAAGCTAGGTAGCTATGTGGAGTTTAACGTCTCAAAAACATCAAGTGATTATGGGAGACACGTAGTGGAGGACTCCGGAAATTTTTACCACCTGGGGTTCTTTAACGTGCACTTAAATCTGAGCACACGGGCATACAGCATTTTCGTCTCCATCTAAAATGCAGCCGCCGCCACCGGGATTTGATCCCGTGAGCTGCAGGTCAGCAGCCGAGTACCTTAGCCAGTAGGCCACCACGGCGGGGCTCCCAATTAAAACTATACTTATAGCTTTATATGCATCTGCGATCACGATGTTCCCGAATTCGTTGACCACTGGAGTATACTTCATAACCAAACCTATTATGTGAACAGTTTTGATCCACAACGTTCAAATATAGATCACTTCAAAGGGTACTTCAAGCCCCATATATTATTTCCACTGCGTCCATCTGTTGTAGTTTTCAGATTTTTTCTCATGTCAGATCAGGCAGAAGAAATTTAGGCTTATGGGAGCAATACCACCAGTAAATTACGTCTTATAGCTTTTTTTCGTCTTTAAAACAAACGCCTCAAACATAATTACGTGCGTCGGCATAACGATTATTCCTTAGAACGAATCTATTTTCGTCATATCATTTGGACTATTTACTTCAACATCATCATCATCATCATCATCAGCCTGGCTACGTCCACTGCAGGACAAAGGCCTCTCCCATGTTTCCTGCCAGTTAACTCGGTCCTGTGCTTGCTGCTGCCAATTTATACTCGCAAACTTCTTAATCTCATTTGCCCACCTAACCTTCTGTCTCCCCTTAATCTGCTTGCCTTCTCTAGGAATCCAGTTAGTTACCCTTAATGACCAGCGCTTATGCTGTCTACGTGCTACATGCCTGGCCCATGTCCATTTCCTCTTCTTGATTTCAACTATCATATCCTTAACCCCGGTTTGCACCCTAATCCACTCTGCTGTCTTCTTGTCCCTTAAGGTTACACCAACCATTTTCCTGTTTACTTATACGCTACCAAAACAACGTAAACAAAACATTGTGATGGAACTACGTGAGATGCGCAGAATCCCATAGGTTTTTCGCTATAATGTCAGCTTTTGCACCATGTTGGACATTATCAACGAAGTAAGAGCCTCACGAAGTAAGAGCCTCCGTTCCATCAGCGAGCCATTTAGCTATTTTGCTCACTGACACTCAGATTCGATATCTCAAAGGTTTCATTCAAGTAATTTTCTTTGTCTTGTTTTTTGTTCGTCATCCGCTACTTTTCTTTTGATTCACTCACAAATATTGTTATCGCGGTAAGAGTGCCAGCACCTAAAAAAATGAATTTTCGATTGTTTGTTGTTGTCATTTTTTGCCTGGTACGTGCTAACCCTTCTTGAAACCTGTCTTTAGTGGTTTTTCACTTGTGTTCATTTTATCTGAAAGTGTAAGATGCGCGCGCACTGTAGAAATGAGCGGTTGGTGCAATAAATATGTCACTTGTAAGTTCAGCGCTCGTCTATAGTGTACTTCCTGCGTCCTCATTCTTTCTTTTTTTGTGGTTTTTGCCCAGTTGCTCATGCTCTAGCTTTTGAATATCAACAATTTGATTGTCTGGCGTGACAAAGAAGACGCTGGCAGGTCTAAATCTATAAGAACATCTCTGCACTTTGATTTAATTGCTGAATTACGCCAAGTTCTCAATATTCCCTGCTATGGCGTGCATTATTATGATGTCGGGGTTTATGTCCGTAACATCCCGGTCATTATTGAACTAATTGCTAATTGAAACGTACCTTGAACGTGCGCGCAACCGCGTCAGGTCGTCCAGTGGGTTGTCCATGCCTTTCATAGGGTGGCGGTTGTTCTTCAGTTTGGTGTCATTTTTCGGAGCCTGAACCACGAGCTTGTAGCGGCCAACTCTCAGCGCCATGGCTTTATTATTCGGGTCCACGTTGTGCAGTATCTCCTTTCGTGGACATTCGGTGCCCTCTGACAGCGCACGCCACATGTCGAAGCCATCAATGGGACCCAGTTGCGCCACGTTTCCTCCTGGGTGCCCAATCGGAATCGGCACATTCAATACTTCGAACAAGCGCTCACCCTTCAGAACACTTCAAGTTGAGGACTAAACACATCACGAAGTCAGCGATATGAAAATCACCTTTATTAAATGCGCGACACGTAACGATTCTCACAGACAGTGTCTGCTTTAGAAATTTAAGACCTGCGCAATGGTTGCACAGGTTGTTCTATTTCAGCTTGGTATACAAAGAAGGTACCCCGCGAAAATAGTTATTTGGCAAGGATTGCTTTTATTCAAATATTGGCTAGTTAGAAAATCAACCATACTAAGTGGATGTATTTGCACGTTATTTTTTCATTTTTGACACGTTGAAAAAAGAAGCATTGAATCGAAACATTTCGTTGTCATCTTCAACCATGTTATTCTTACTGAGTTCATAACACACCACACTGCTAAAGCCAAATTCTTCTCCGACACAGAAAAAAAAGATAGAAATGTAGTACTGAGGTTCCTCCGGCTGATGCTGCTATACTTGCTGTGCAAGTTAAGTGCTTCCTGAACACATGTGATCTCTCCGCACACATCCCGCTCGATACCAATTTAAGAGAAGGCCCATAATAACAAATATTTTTTTCCTTAAACATTTTTCTTCATTAGTTAGCATTTGAACAGTTTTACCAATAGTGGCAATGGGCCTTGATATAAAACTGTCGGTGTAGCGCGGGTGTCTTATAGCGGGGCGCTCACGAAAGAAGCGTTGGTTGATTAAGCACCTTACTGTTCAATATATTGTCTTCTATAGCAAGGATGCATAAAATAGCCGATGAAATGAGGCACATGGCACCATCATCTTGCTATACGATCTTAAAACGGCTCTGCAACAGCTTCCCAAGTAATAAGTCGTAGGTTTTCACCATATGATGTATGAATCAATTCTAAATTTCAATGTGCGTTTATTTGAGGCGCTTGTTTTCAGTAGTCTCAACTAGCGTTTTCTGACTATGCTCTTAAAAATTATTGCATGGTTTCTCTAATATTGATATAGCTCGCAGTATTTGGTACATGCATTCCAAAGAACAGTAAACGGTTTTTCCAGCAGGATCAGCGCTTCCCATGTTGCATACATGTTTAGCGAATCACTCACCGGCGGCTGAGTATAGAGTGGGCAGCCAGTCAACGATGTGCATCAAATGGCGCGACAGCTGACGGCGCTTCTTGAGCCTCGTGCTCCAGACAAACGCCGGAGCTCGCACACCACCTTCCCAGAGTGTGGACTTGTATCCACGGAGTGGCCAGCTGCTACCGCCCGTCAAACCTTCACCAAAGAGAGCGGCGCCGTTGTCGGAGCTGAACACAATGATTGTGTCATTCAGCATGCCGGTCCTGTTGAGGGCGTCAACCACGGCCCCCACCGATTCGTCCAACGCGTCTACCATGGCTGTAAAATGCCGTAATAAAACAAGAATAAACGCCCAAGTCACTCGTCAATGAGAGTTAAAAAAAAATTAAAGGAGACACTATAAAGAGTGAAATAGCTATCCTGTCAGCCAGTAGCGCAGTCGTCATGCAGATGAATTACAACATTTAGACATAATCAACTGTTTCACATTCTGTTGCTAAAGCGCACGTGAGCTTGTGTCCGTCCAGCGCCGAAGCCGGGCTGATATGCTTGGCATATCAGGACATCGTCCCTTATGGGCGTTGCCGGTGAATGAGTTTTGTCTCCTTGCTCTGTGATCGCGAAGATGCTTGAGTCTGGAAAGACAATGCGAGCCGTGTACGCATATTACGCGTGTTGCGTACCTGTTCTTTTCGACAATAATGCCGCATTAAATGTTGTTATTCATTCGGTGGCGTATCGCCTAAGCCATCCCAAAGCCGAACTTCGCTGAACGCAACGCTGTACAGCTGCATTAAAAATAAAGGGGACAATAAATACTATAATAAAGGCTAACAATGCCTCTTTTCTTCACGAAAAGGTTTCAATGTTCAAAAATGCACTTCGTCAAGACTCTTCGTGGCCGTTGGCCCAAGATTGCCCTTTGGTTAATTACTCAATGGTCTAGCGTTCTTGGAGTTTCATTATGTCGGCGTACTGAGGCGTCGTAATAGGGGCAATATAGGATTAGTTGGTGTGTACTTTATGATATGTCCTCCACTTATAAAAATATGAATATGGACAAAAGAAAAGTGTTTGACACGCGTTACATTCGTAATACAAGAAGGGGAAAGTACCTGCTGCACCCATGCAAGACAAACAAGCCGCACTGTGTCCTTACCTTTTTCTAAGGTATGCTGACTTTGCCCAAGTACTTACTAAGCGTCCGTGATGCATACGGGCAACTGTTCTGCACTTTTAGTTGATGTTATTTTGACTCCTGATGTTCAAGACGAATGGTGAATGGTGGCGAAAACGTTTGTAATGAGTTAGCAGCGTTACGCCTCTCACTCGTTTCGCAGTTGACGTGGTGGGGCGTCTGAAGCGGTTCTACGCTTCGGTCGAGCAATATATCGTCTGGTAAGCGATATTGCGTGACTGTTTGCCTGACATGACGCCTGCTTAGGGTCTTCTTCTAAAGTAGTTTTAAGCACTGGTGTGGCTTTCGCAATAGGGAAAAAAACTGGCGTAGCTTTGTGGTCAACAAAAGAGAAGATACCCCAGCCATCTAAAATCTTCAAGGGAAAGTTTCAATTTGGATGTTGCCATCGGTTGTCGAGTAGCTACCGGACTTCTGGCGATATCAGTATATGACCGTCGATGAGACATATCTAATGCGAGTTCTTTGAGTTGCTCTGGACGTTTCCTTATAACCTCCATAATACTTTCTACGCATCTTGTGCTTATCAGCGAGAAACTTCCAAAGAGAGTTCGAACATCGCGAATAGTCGTTAGATGAGGTACCAGTGCGCTATGCTTATGTAAAAGCCGGGGGAAGACCCACCTAATCTATTCGAACTTGCGCATTATCTTTAAGATGCGAAGCAGGTTGGGGTCCACCCCGGAGGAAGGAAAGGTAGGAGAGGGCATGCCCCGCCGGCGCGCTACGTGAAAAGTGTGGAGGAAATGACATCACGGCGGCAATGTTCACTGGGCACAATGGCGGCATTGCTATGGTTACGTGTTGCGCCGTGGAGCTGGCCTAGCAGTGAGCGGCCGCGGCTGGCGGCGGCATGTATGCCTCCCCAGGTCTCGTGCTGAGCCGTGGCGGACATTATCCATGCTCGGCGCCGCGTTATTGGTTATACAGTGTTCTCCTGGCAGTTACTGTACTCTTAGCAACGTTTACCAATCTTTTTGTTCATCACGGGGTTTCAACAGTGCGTAGAACGAGTGCATATCCATGTGTCGTGCGGCGGATGACGGGGATGAAGCAATTAAGTGTTCAGCGAAATTGCATTGGGCACCATGACGAAGCGGAATGACGATGAACGCCTTGCAGGTCAGTGACGGTTGGGTAGTGCTCCTGCTTGTGACAATGAACGACGCTGTTGAGCCCAGCAAGAAGCAATGAGGAACATGTGCACATACGTAGTTTCGTGTTGTGTGTGTACAGTAACAACTTGCATGTGCGTATTAAAATACCTTTTCTGTCCCACTTCTTATACTCTCCCCCAGCATGCTATGTAATCTCAACGTAACAGCAACCGCGTTCAAGTGTCACTTGCACCGTGCTCAAAGTCACCACGGTCGCAGATTGCTGACGCCGGTGAGTTTCACGCGGAACACGGACACAGTGGCCGGGCGCTGCGTTGGCCGCGTGGCGGAATGCAACCATAGAAGGCGCATGACCGATCGTGTTGTCTGTACAGTTGCTGAATTAATGACGTGAAAACACTCGCCGTTGTCAGTGCATCTAGCGCGCGTTCTCTTGTACTTGCTCCATTGTCGGTGAGCTTTCACTCGCTGTTAATACACGGATGAAATTAACAGCGAGTGTTGAACCCCGTTTCATTATTTTCGTATCGTCACGACACGCGCGCTGCGCAGATCACGTGCTTTCCGAGCCGGAAAGAGAGTCGCGCCTTCCGCTTTACATTCGGATGCAAACTTGAGAGGAGAATTTGCCCAGTGAATATGGCTGACTTCCGGCTTCATCATCGCGGCTTTATAACGAGTGGCGTCAGGGCCTCTCCTACCTTTCTTTTCTCTGTGGGGTCCGCCTTAATCAGGTTCGGCCCTGACCATCCTTGTTGCGCATGTGCGCACTTCCAGCTATCTCTTTTATGTCCCCATCTCTCGTCACGCAATGCCGACGCAGGCAGAGTCTGCAGGTCTACGCTCGCTCCCCGTGTCTCTCCTCCCTCTCAGCGGCGTTTACAGCATCAACGCCTCCTATATTTCCCGTGCCTGCCTGATTATCGGCGGTCACTTGGGAAGTGGTGGTCGTCGGAACTACGGTGGTGGCGCCACTCAAGTAGGAGGGTCTTCAAATAGGTTTTTTACGTTTTTGGAGCTTATATGCAACAAAGATAACAAAAAAAGTTTTAGAGAAGCGTAAACGTAATTATAATTAACCCTACGTAAGTAACGCCGTCATTTAGCAAGCAGCTTTTTTATTACAAGGCATCCTCTGAAATTAGTAACAAACGCCGAAATTGCCCATCTCAAAGGCCAAGTACAAAGATCCTTACCCCTACGTAGGCAGCGCCGCCATAGATGACCGGTGTTTCGCGCTCATCCGGCAGGCACGGAAAATCAAGGAGGCGTTGACAGCATGCGTGTTGCCCCCTCTCTCCTCTCCGCTCCTATGCTCCCTCTTTTTCACCTCGGAACGCCAACGCAGGCAGCGTATGCTAGAGAGTTTCTTGACCGATAAAGTTAGGAAGCCTTTATGGGCGCACCACCTCCATAACGGAGGCGCACATGAAGGCTCCCTAGAAAAAAACCGACTGCTCGTCCTGCTAATCCTTCACTGGCCACCCTACCGGATGTTGATCTCCAAAGTAGTGCCGGTGGGACAATTATCCTGTGCGTTGTTGAAAAATTTGCAGTGTTCTCGTTAACTAAAAGCGCACTGCGGGTCCCTGTATTCAATCCGGAGTCTTCTGTCTCTCATCGCCCATTAGCAACTATTGGCATATTCCAGTAGGAAACTCCGGTCCATCACTGCGTGCTTTGCTCCTTCCCAGGTTTCTCTCCTGCGCAACGCCGCGATAAGCGCCAGACTCAACGTCGCCTCCAGTGTAAGTGTTAGCGCCCGCTTTTTCGCATCTACGCATGGTTCTCTTTATCGCGAGATGGTGTAATATATTTTTCCTCCCTTACCTGCATAGTAACTCCTGTCCTTGTTTCCTATGTAGGAAAACTTTCTCACAATCTTTTCTGGCGCTTGAAAAGGATCTGTATTTCCGATATGTGGAGCTATCTGGCTGAAATAACCAAAAAATGGCTGAAAGAAAATAATGAATCTGTGTTGTCATACAAGCATTCCACTGGGAGACGTTACAATATGTTGTGCTATTTTCTTTGAGAGAAATCGACCCAATACTCATAACAGCTCATGATTTAATTTTTCAGTTGTATTTTATTCTAGAGCACCGTATCTTGTCACATCTACTGTACTGCTAGTCGTATAATGTTCGCTTAGTCAGCGGGATTTTTGGTCGCAATAATGGTCGATCTTCAGTAAAGGCACCAGTTACTTACCTTAGATTTATCGTGCTTCTCAATAAGAGAAACAAACTTTTCGGTGAACAGGTGAGTAGCGTAAGTTCCGTTTTCTCCCCAATCTGGTTTCTCATTGTCTCTCAGGTCAAGGCCAACGTGTTCCTGCAACACAGTGCGAGGGTTCCAATGATTTGAACTATAAAATATTGAGCTAGTTTATGGGATTCGCAGATAGATAGATAGATAGATAGATAGATAGATAGATAGATAGATAGATAGATAGATAGATAGATAGATAGATAGATAGATAGATAGATAGATAGATAGATATAGATAGATAGATAGATAGATAGATAGATAGATAGATAGATAGATAGATAGATAGATAGATAGATAGATAGATAGATAGATAGATAGATAGATATAGATAGATAGATATAGATAGATAGATAGATAGATAGATAGATAGATAGATAGATAGATAGATAGATAGATAGATAGATAGATAGATAGATAGATAGATAGATAGATAGATAGATAGATAGATAGATAGATAGATAGATAGATAGATAGATAGATAGATAGATAGATAGATAGATAGATAGATAGATAGATAGATAGATAGATAGATAGATAGATAGATAGATAGATAGATAGCCAGCCAGCCAGCCAGCCAGCCAGCCAGTCAGTCAGTCAGTCAGTCAGTCAGTCAGTCAGTCAGTCAGTCAGTCAACCAGCCAGCCAGCCAGCCACCTACGTCTCGGCGCTCTCGTAGTCGTCTGCTTTACTCGACACATACCAAAATTTGTGAGAGAGCGTTAGCGTACGTTGACCATAATCAACAGCTTAACAGCATGAACAGCGTAAGATACTTGTCGCGCACGCCACGAAGCCATTTACTACGCATACATGTGTACAATGGCCAATGGAAGGCGGGTATGAGCCTCAGGTGATTCACAGTTTGTATTAACCCTAAGAACGGCGAGTATAACATACTTTCCGAATAAAAATCTTTAGGCCTTCGCGTTATCCAGTTTCCATGGCAAGAAATGCGGGGCAGGCGGGGGCGATGTCGTCAGTGAGGGAAATATTAGAGGATCGGAAATATTGAAAATCTTGGTTAGAGGCGCAATCAACGTCGGGCGCTCTGCGTAGCAGTCAAGTGTTTATCCTTAGAGCTATGCCAGTGCTTGAAGCTTCTTTCATGAAAAGACTATATCATGGCGTCCTTCCTCGGCAACATCACCTGTGGTTGCAGTGTTCGCAATCGGAATATGTAACAATGTAATAAATACTACATGTCAAATCCTGTGACACGCCAAGCTATTTATTATGATTGCACAATCGGGGGCAATATAGCGAAAGTCGCTTCTTATGACGAACTAATCATCGCATTGTATTGCGCTGTTCATTTCGACGAAATGGGAATTTTCACTATGAGGTCATTACCCATGTCACGTCCTACCATGTGGGCCTGACCATAGCCGTCGTGCCTATAGCAAGTCTACGATCAGTCACTTAGCAGGAATAAAAGAGCGGGGGGGGGGGAGCGAAGGGGGTCTAAGAATACCCCTTGACCCCAAATTGTTGTTTCCTCAAAATAGGTACTTTCCTAAAAACAGCTGTTTTCCTCAGATATTCTAGGCCTTCAGCCAATGCTGCCCCACCCCGAAAAAATTCATTTATTCACTGTGGGCTTGCTTACAATATGCCCATAACGACTCGAAATTGACACGAACTGACATGGTCTAATTCGTTACACTTGGCCAAATGACAAACAAATGATAAAGGCCACTAATCGCCTACTGCATCGCATGACACTGACTCACGGAGTGGGATCTGCCGAATTCCTTAAGGATGAATAATTGTTCTCATTATTTTTATGTATAAGGCTGGTAATGCCTGTGCCTCAAGTGTTCAGCAAAGGACATTAACTCCATAATGTCTTTGAATTTAGCGCCATTTGCGTGGTGGGCCACACGGGCAAATGGAATAGCATTAGTCTTAATGCCATTTGTCACCTAATGCTTTCGTTAGAATTCATTCTACCGGGAAATGCGTGCTCTCCATACCGAAGCAAACTTATTGCAGTACACATGCAACATTCGAAACTGACAAAAAAAAATGTCAAAATGTCAATGAGTAAAATGTCAAAGACATATTATACATGTATTTTAACTCGTCGCATGCAATTTTTCAGTGACATTGAAGCGAAATGTGCTTTAGTACTGCAAGGACTTCGACATAACATGTGTCATGTGAGATTTTGGGCTTTGGATTCAACCTCTGATTGCCCAAGTTGCTGTGAATATTGGCAATCTTGCAATATACAGGAGCAAATCGAAGCTAGTTCCATCGTAGTAGGATCATTTCTATATTTTACTGTCCTTGAACGCAGGTTAAAGTTGTTGAAATGCGTGTTTATGTTTCATAACTACCGTAAAAAATTTTAACTGCATGTGTTGTTGTTATCGGCATCTCGACAAGTTGCATTAAATTTAGACGTGTGGCAGCTCCGCTGAATATATCGTTATTCAGGAATTAATGCTCAACTATACTTAGTACCATTTCCTGTGCCTGTGTTGTGCGGGTGTAAGTCGTTGTACGTTCGTGAAGTTTTTACGCGCACGAGTATATATATCCCTAAGCCAAGAATTTCGATATACATAAAAGAAAGCCCGTAACGGTAAAATAAGACTAGACGCATATGGTCAATAAACATGTCAAATGCTAAAAAAAGGGAGGCCAGGTTAAAAAAAAAAGAATGAGTGCCTCATAAGTGAATCCTGTTCTGGCGCTCGTTGACTACATGATGGAAGCTGCGACCTCAATTATAGTTTATCATTTGCATCGCAGATAACGCGCAGTTATTTTTCCGACCTCAAACCACGCCCATGCCTATAGACTTCTGAGAATCGGTTCTCGGCGCTCCCTTCCTACAGACTACACCCACATTTTTTCTTCGTCGATCTTTGTTCCTCTAACTAGTTGGTTATGTTTTGAACGACTGTAAATATTGAAAAAAAGCAGGTTCTTTCTGATGAGAGATATGCTTTTTCATGATAAGAAACAATAAAAATTAGCGAGCAGAACATACGAAAACTACATAGGTAGGCGCTGCTGTCTACGTCCCTTCACACGGCTTCCGATAATGTCACACACAAACGAGTCTGGATGCATGCGTTTTCTTGGTGTGTTTTTGTGTATTTATTTGTTTGCTTGTTTTTGCCTTGAAAGCATAAGATGCATCTACTTTATAAGCTTGCGCGCATGAGTGACATCCTTGCGTTTCTAAATATTCTAATGAGAAAGCCTGCCTGTCTGCGTTTCGGCGAGCATGTTCACGCACATTGTCACTCACCGAGCCAGACGTGTGGTCGTAGTAGTCCACCATTCCGTTGTAATAGCCGTAGAACGTGTCAAATCCGCGCTTCAGAGGCGTATACTCGGTTTTAAAGAAACCCAGGTGCCACTGCAAAGAGGGAAAATGAAAATAAAAGTCATACATGAGTGCCTACATGCAGAGACATGGTCTATCAAACACGCAGGTTATGTGGCTAAGTATTTCAGAGAGGCAAGTGCAAAAATCAGCTTTGCAAAGACAGGAAGTGCATTCCGTTGAACGCACTCATTTGTGATGTGAGCGTACGCAGCACGCCTACAAAATCTTCTAAGCTAAAGACTACTGGGTAAAACACACCATAGGCTCCTATTACTGCACAGATGAAGACGACAAAATGTCACCAGTGGTTTAGACTCCGATTCACGCATGAAAAAAGGTAGTGTACCAGGGCCCGCCCATGCTCACAAAACGTCTTACAAGCAACAATTGTCCGTAATTGAAAATGTTAGTTCAATAATGAAGGTGGCAGGCCACTTACAAGCAACACTTACAACACGTACTGAATAAGTTAGTTTATTCGCAGGTTTAGATTATTAATCAAGAGAGTTTTTCTTTCTTATGTTTTTTGTCATTTCCTAATGATAAGCCCCTCATTAAGATTGGTTGAAATTCTTGGTGCATTTTTTTTTCTTACGAACATCCTAAATGCATACGTGGTTTCTTTGGGTACACTACTTTTCGCTGCAGTTAGGGGGGGGGGGGGTGTATATCCCCGTACGTTGCGGTAATGGATGTACAACCTCACGAGGTGACGTCCGACTCCGGTTCGACCGCGGCCACTACCTCGAGGAAGCGAGAAAACACATCCAGTGATAGCGATGACACTGAGCTGTACTCCGCATCTTGCGACGAGTCCTCAGACGACGGCTTTCAACCTGTCCTGCACCGCAAGGCCAAGCGACGGATCATCGCCGGTGTCAAGTACAGCCACCGTGAAAACGGCGCCCCAGCGATGGCCCCATTCCATCCTGTTCGTGCCAAAGAACGCTACCGAAAGTCTGCGTGCTCTGAACAGGCAAGCGCTTTCGCTCTATTTCGAGAACACTGTGCCGAAGGAGATTAAAGACGTACGGCTTAATACAAGAAGAAACATCCTGGCGGTCGATGTGGTGCACCCGAGTGCGCTGAGCACGCTGAAACACGTAACACAACTGGGAAACAATGTAGTTAGGTCCATCATACCAGCCGATGGTGTGACCACATCAGGAGTCATTTACGACATTAACACGGAAATCCCAAACGCAGACCTTCCAATAATTATAAAACCAGCGAGTCAAGACAACGTCAATGTCAGCGTTGAACGCCTTCGTAACACACGTTGTGCGAGAGTAACGTTCAAAGGTGACTGTCTTCCCTCATACGTGAAGGTTGGCCACTTTCGTCAACAAGTTCACCGTTTATTCCAAAACCCGTGCAATGCTTCAATTGTCAGAAGATCGGCCATGTAAAGGGTGTTTGCAGGAGCTCCGCAGCGTGCCCCCGGTGCGCCGAACCACACGCGGAAGACAACTGTAGCGCTACCACACTGAAGTGTCCTAACTGTCAAGGTGCTCACAAGGCTTCTTCGAAAGAATGTCCGCACATAAAGAAAGAATTTTCTATTCTGAAGCAAATGGTACGAGACAGCTCAACCAACAAAGAAGCTACTGAGAAAATCCGGCGAAGACGACGTCGCCGTCGAAGGTCTTCACGTCGGACAGCGCCAACTTCAGGCAATAAGTCGACGCATCAGAAAAAATTGCCAGCTGCAGTTTCCAGCACGGCAAACACAGACGTTGGAAAAGAGCAAAGGGGCAGGCAAGTCTCTACAGAAGAGTGGCCTCCACTTACGCGTACACAAGGCTCAGAAGAACCGCAGCAGAAGCCGTCTTCTTCAGATCAAGCTGCTGCAATGGAGGACTTGCGGAACACAGATCAGCAAGTGATAGCTCTTTTGCGACCCTTAATTAACGCTATTCGCTTGTTAAGCAACATGCACACACCGTCAGCAAGAGGTGCATTGCAATTACTGGACGCTTTGAGTCCAGTACTCGCAGCGCTTGAGTAAATAATGGCTCACCAGCCACTGTCTTTCAGAGAAGTCCGAAAGGCAGCGATTATTCAATGGAATGCCCGGGGACTGAGGTCACGCATCGCCGATTTCCGTCGGTTCGGGTACACCAATAAGTTCCCCATCATTGTCATCTGTGAGCCGAACTTGCAGAAAGAAATCAGACTTTCTGGTTATGAGTCATTCATGTCGTCTATAACTGTGAACAATAGCAAAGTTCTGATGTTTATTCGCCGCGACCTCACCTACATCCATCATCCGGTGTCACCCCATGACGACAATTAATATATAAGTATAACAGTGAAAAGGAGACTTACCATCACGGTTGTGGGTGCCTACTTCTCTCCATCAAGCCGTTTCGACCATACAAGACTACAAGGTATCCTGTCAGCAACTTCTCACCTATGCATTATAATCTGCGACTTCAACGCTCACCATACAATCTGGGGAAGTTCCAAGACCAATGTTGAAGGGAGAAAGTTGGTGTCCTTCGCCTCCGACAACCAACTTTTCTTGCTAAATGATGGCAGTCCAATGTTCCTACGTGGTTCAAGATATAGCAGCTGCCTTGACCTGGCCTTTGTCTCACGAGGCCTCGTCAGGCATGCTGAGTGGTTTCCAGACATAGAAACGCATGGAAGTGACCACATTCCCACTTACGTCAAAATCGAAGGATTGTCCCATGCTAAGATACGCGATAGTGTTCAGAGAGTAGACTGGTTGAAATTCCAGTCTCGCATGGAAGAGCAATGTAAAGCAAACATATCCCTCGACATAGAGGAGATAATTAAAAGCACAATACGCGATAATACGTGTACCCTCACCTGCTCTCCCAAAGTAACGGAATTTGACATCGAGCTAGAACGACTTCGAGCAATCCGACGGCGTGCTGAACGAAGATACCGACGCACGGAGGCAATAGAAGACTTACGGATTGCTCGACGTATATAAAAGAAGATTCAGCGCCGGATAATTAAACTCGAGTCGCAACGTTGGACTGTTTTTTGTGAGTCACTTGACCCACGAAAACCTTTATCCCAATTATGGAAGACGGTACGAGGTCTCCGTACAAAGCCCACTCAGTGGTCACTATTCAGGGCTCTCGCACTTTCTGAACAGAGACGTGGTATTGACGTGGCAGAAGACTTCTGTGCCAGAGTATCTGGGCCACTCGCAGGGCCCAATAGCCTATTGCCCTCGACTAACTGTCCACAAACACTGAATTACCGCATGGATATGCTTTTTTCAATCGTGGAGCTCAGAGAAGCACAAGCTTTGTGTGGACGCACGTCGGCACCAGGGCCCGATAGGCTTTTTCATAGGGCCTTATGTCATCTGGGTGAACGCGCGAGAATCCTCCTTTTGGAGTTTTACAACAAATCCTGGCAAGAGGGAACGCTCTCGACAAGGTGGAAGACAAGTCGCCTAGTTCCACTTCTGAAACCAGGCAAGTCGCCGTTGGAGCTCTCATCTTATCGTCCGATCGCATTGGCTAGTTGTGTAGGCAAAGTTATGGAGAGCATGATCCTGGGACGCCTGGAGTGGTTCTTGGAGTGTAACAACATCTACCCAGATGCCATGGCAGGATTTCGGCGTGGTCGAGCATCGATTGACAACGTAGTCGACCTGGTCACTTACGTCCAACACGAGAAAGGCCGTAAGCGTCTCTGCGCATCTTTGTTCCTAGACGTTAAAGGGGCGTATGACAACGTTACACATGAAGCTGTTCTCACCGCTCTCGAAGATATATGAGTAGGTGGTCAGATGTATCACTGGATACGTAGTTATTTGTCAATGCGATCCTTCTTTGTAAGCACTGAAGACGGTCCAACCTCTCCACATTACAGCCACCGCGGCGTCCCCCAGGGTGGGGTACTCAGCCCTGTGCTGTTCAATCTTACGTTAATTGATCTTACTGAGTATCTGCCAAGCACGGTCAGGCTATCAATCTACGCAGATGATATCTGCGTTTCGGCATCGGCTGTAACACGCCTGTAGTTACGAGGGAGAATTCAAAAAGCTGCCACTGAAACATTACGCGACCTACAAAATCGAGGCTTGGACATTTCTTCCGAGAAATGCGCCCTCGTGGCTTTTACACTAAAGCCTATGGATAAGTACACTATAAGCATCAATGGTCAAAGTGTACCATACGTTCGATCGCACAAGTTTTTGGGCGTCATAATTGACAGAAATCCATCATGGAGCGATCACGTTTCGTACATGAAAAAACGGTTAATGAACATCTGTAATATACTGAAGTTCTTTGCAGGGAAGACTTGGGGAATGTCTCCCAGTGCAATGCTACAGCTGTACAGTGTACTTTTTCTCGGTTTTCTGCGGTACAGTTTACCGGCATTGACCAATGCAAGCAAAACAAGCCTTCGAACGCTACAGAGTGTTTAGTCCCAGGCACTCCGGATTTGCCTCGGCTTGCCTCGTAGTCACTCGCCTCGTAGTCACGCGGCGTCAACAATGGCTACTATAGCTAGCGCCGGTGACCACCTCATCACGACACATATCGACGTTGAGGCACTCAGGACACATATAAGGCATACTGCTCGGACACCCTGCCACCACCTAGCCTCTTTACCAGCGGACAGACCACGTTCGTCATTTTTCCAAACGGTCACCACATATCGCGATTCTTTGCCAACATGCTTCAAACCCGCCGCCAGGCCTTCGACTCCTCCCTGGTGCCTGACTCAGGCTAACTATACCTGGCATCCAGAAAAAAGCAGATATGTCTTCACCTGCTCTTAGACAGCTTGCTCTGCTCTTGTTATACGAGATGTATCAAGGCTGTATACACGTATACACCGACGGCTCTGTTTTACAGAAGAGTTCAACGGCATCATTTGTTATACCGATAAAAGATACGACAAGAAAATTCAAGACCTCCCACCTTACGACATCAACGGGAGCAGAGCTCACAGCTCTTCGTGCCGCATCGCAATTCATCAACGACCAACAGCCACAAAAAATGGACAATTTTCAGAGACTCAAAGGCGGCACTGCA